ATTTCTTTCTTTGAATACACTGGTCTGAGGAGGGTCACCAGACCCGAAACGTTAACTCTGACTTTTCCTCACAGATGCTGCCGGACCTCCTGAGCTTTCCAACAACTTCTGTTTTTGTTACCAAAGTATTAAGGGTGCTTTGCATCAGACCAAATCTTTTCCTTGAAATCTGTCTTTGTTAGTAAAGTAACACTGCTAAGTAAATTTCTAAATTCCAAACACTACTTAGAATTATCAATTCTGCAAGTATTGCCCAACTAATTTCTTTCTTTGAATACACTGGTTCAATTATCAGTCTTTCTACATTTCCTTCTGCTAGTTTTTAAAATGTATTAATGTATTAGCATAATGCTTAAATTTTGTTGTGTGCATCTGTTGCTGAGATGTGTTGAGGTTTCTCACTGCTTGGAAGGCAATGAACCCATCCATCAGACCTATAGCAAATGCATTCACTTTCTTGTCTAGAAAAGAACTTGTGAAAAATTATTAAAGAAATCATAGGAGAGCATCTTGGAGAAAAGGGATCTTTTCATCAAAAAATATTGCTTGGCTAGCGTACAATATTTTCTCTAATGGAGTTGATAGAATCTTATTAACAGTGAGAAGCCTTCTTTATGGTTGGGTAGTTGTTGGGGAGATTTGGAAGTTGGAATTTTTCTCCTTGGAGGGTTGATGGTTAAGGATATAAATTGGAACAGTATTAGGCTACACTGCCACATTGAATCTGCTCAACCATTCAGTGAGATCTTGGATGATTTTCCAGTTTTACCCACTGCCCTATGGTATATTTCAGAAGTCTGTTGATATAAAACTTCAATATGCTTAATCTCTGAGCTCCAACAACCCTCTTGGTTAGAAAACAGCAAAGATTCACAACCCTGTGAAAAAATTTCTCCTGTCTTAAATGGCTGATCCCTAATTCTGAGAGCTTGTTCCAAATTGTCCAGCCAGGGGAAACTGCTTCAGCATCTACCCTTTGAGAACTTTCTATGCTTCAATATATTGGCCAATGGTGTGATTTTAAACTCAGTCTTACTAGCACCATGTTCTATCCAACTGCGCGCAGCCTGAACTAAAGAAAATATTGAATAGAAATGTTCAAAATCGTAAAAGCATTAGATACAACAAAAATGTTTCTGCTGGGAGGTTAGCAAGCACAGAATGCAAGTTTAAGTAATTGTCAAAAATTTCCAAAGACGAATGAAGACAAATTATCTCCTACAACAAATTAGGATCATGAATGCACTGCCTAAAAGTGTAGTGGAAACAGTCAGTCATAATTTTCGAAAGGTAATTTGAGTGCCGATATAATAATTTCCATGTCTACCACAAAAAGCATGGGAATGCAAAGGCATCATGAGCTGAATGGTTAGCTGGTTTCCGTCTATATGTTTCTATACCTGTTTTTTGGGTGCACTGCAGAGAGACCTAATGATTATTGTGCCTTGCCGTTTATGCTGTTTTTAAAATAGAATATGATGATTTTTATTTTTAAAAGTCAAACTTTATTGAGTTTTTTATCTTTTATTTGGCCTGACATCAGTTTGATTATCGTCCTTTTGGTAAAGTTGACGTTTGAGGTTAGTTTGAGTTCCCTTTAAAGGGAGGGCATGTTAATTTAGTTACAGATTCCTTCAACAAATGTTTGTAATTCTACTCCAGAACTATTTGATTGAACACTGAGAATTATAGCACATACCAATAAGTGAAGTGCACAAATTGATGAGGATTCAGGAATTGGGTCCATGGTCATTTATTTCCATGATTGCAAAAGGAAAGTTAGTCTTATCACTAACTGTAGTGGGTTACAGATACCTCAAGCTTTTTTACAGAACATTATCAGAAACGTGTATTACAATTACCAGTTTCTTTGTCTAAGTGTCTTGTATAATCTGCAGTTTTGCCACAGCTTTCATAAGCATTGACTGTATGTGACCCAAGGCCAGTACTATACTTTTGTTAGTGTGACTTCTACTAGCTTTGACAGTCTGTGTACATCTCATTTGTTTTGTACATCTATGGTTCCAACTTACTTTGTTACCAATAGTATGACTGAAGCTTTAACTCTTAACCAATTTCACCCCTTCTCCATATGTGGTGTCAATTATATTCCAAGCACTTAATATTGAACTGAATATAAAAACCGGCAAAGAATGACTTAAATGTTAATGAGGGAACAATAAGAGAGGAAGTCAGCCAGAAATTGAAAAACATATGGTAAGAGTTTCTAGCAATATTTTAAAAAGTTACAAGATTAAGAAAAGTTAGCATTGGTTCTATAGAAAGTGAATATAGAGAGTTTAACAAATGGAAAATAGAGATGGCAGATAATTCAAACAGGTACTTTGCATCTGTCTTTAGTATAGAAGATACAAGTAACAATCCAGAAGAAACTCTAAATTGGGAGACAAAACGGAGGGGGAAACCCTGGGAAAATTATAACCATGAGGAAAAAGTGTAAATGCTGGAGCTACAGGCTGGCAAGTGCACAGATCTTAAAAGAAGGTGGTAGTGAGATAGTTGATGCATTAGTTTTTGTGTTCCAAAGCTCCCTACATTTGTGAAGGCTCCAATTAGTTTAGAAAATAGTAAATGTAACTACTTGATTCAAAAGAAGAGACAGAAAGCAAGAAACTACTGGCCAGTTAGCCTAACCTTTGCCATAGGGAAAATATTAGAAGCTACTGTTACAAAAGGTATAGCAGGGCACATGGGTAACCTCAAGGTAGTTGGGCAGAGCCCACATGGTTTTGTGAGAAGGAAATCATGTTTAGACTATCTGTTGGAGTTGTCTGAGGAAGAAAAGTGCTATGGATAAAAGAAGATGTACTGTATTTAAGTTTCCAGAAGGCATTTGATAAATTGCCACATCAAAGGTCATTGTGGAAAACAAAAGCTCCTGATGTAAGAGGTAGCATAATGGTGTGGATGGAATATTGGCTGGCTAACAGGAAGCAGAGTGCAAGCGTAAATAGGTGTTTCTCAGGTTGACTAGATGTATAAGTGGTGTATCTCAGGAATTGATTTTTGGCACAAACTATTCAGAATTTTATGTAAATGATTTTGATAAAGGATCAAATGGTATAGAGGCCTAGGAGTAGGAATAGGCGGTTTGGCCCTTTTTTGAGCCTGCTCTGCTATTCAGTGTGATCATGGCTGATCATTAACTTGGTACCTGTTCCTGCTTTCTCCCTTTGATCCCCAGGAGCTATATCTAACTCCTTCTTGAAAAACATACAATGTTTTGGCCTCGGCCACTTGCTGTGGTAAAGAATTCCACAGACTCACCAGTCTGGGCGAAGAAATTTGAATAAAGCAATGGTATGTTTAGGTCAAATTTGCTGATAACGCAATAGTGTGAAAGTAAGTTGTAACAGAGCATGATGTGGCAAAATGTGCAATTGTTCATTCGGTAGTAGAATAAAGAAGTATTCTGAGATGCTGAGGATCTAGGTGTCCTAATGCATGGATCTCAAGGCTAGTGTGCAAGTGCAGCAAGTCATTAGGAAAGCTAATAGAATGTTATTTATTGAGGGGGATTGAATATAAGGGTAAGTAGACTTCGCTTCATTTATGCGGGGCACTAGTGAGACCCTATTTTCAGAACTGCATATAACATCAGAAGGATGTAAGTGCATTGAAAACAAAAAGCTGATACCATTTACTAGACTTAATACAATTCATTAATTCAAAGTATATGAGGAAAGGTCAGTTTGTGTGGTATTTGTAATAGTAAGAAGTGACTCAGTTGAAGCATGTAAGATCCTGGAAGGTCTTGGCGGTGCCTACAGAGAGGATGTTTTCTCTTAAGAGAGAATCTATAACGAGGGGTCAGCAATTTTGGAAAAATAAAGTTGAGGTGAAATTTTTTTCAGCATGAATTGCCAATCTTTGGAACGCTCTTCCTGAAGAGGTGGAAGCAGAGCTGGATATATTCTTCGTAAGCAAGGGGGTGGAAGGTTATCTGGGGTAAATGTGAATCTGGAGTTGAGATTAGGGCCAAATCAGCCATGGTCTTACTAAATGGTGGAGAAGGCTTTGAGTGAAGAAATTTCTCCTCGCTTCAATCCAAAATGCCTTGCCTGCCCACCAGGGGAGACATCATCCCTGGGCTGAATGGCTTACTCCTGCCCTTGTTGGAATGTTCAGATTGAGTGGTTTTTGGTGGGGAGTGACAAGTGGCTGTAGTAATGCAGGAATAGTCAAGGACAGTGGTTTAGTTTTCGCTTAGTTTGCTTTCTTTGGGATCTTTTAACTTTTATGGGTTCTCAAATTTGAGCCCCAAACGTCAACATTGGCTTTCTCTTATAATTTAGGCACGGGGGTTAGGAAAAAAATAGACTTGCTATTGGGCACAAGTTGGCAATGGTAAATTAACTGTATTCTGTGCTATTGTTTGCTGGTAGAGAAAGTGCAAGAGAACTAGAAGGAAGTGGGCTTGAGTTGTTTGCACAAGTCAATTTATAATTGTTAGTGGTTTTTCAATTCCAGGAAGAGCCACTTTTTTTTTAAACTTAACCAGAAAGGTTACAGTTTGATTAGTGGTGTTTGCCTTAGTTTTTGATCATTTTTTTTAATTCTGAAGTATGTTGCTGTTGAAGTTGTCTATGGTACGTGAAGTGGAATAGTTTCCATTAGTACTTTGCAGTTCTGAGTGGGAACAGTGCAAAAAAAAACTTGCACTTGCTATTGATTGCTTGTCTTTAACAGGTTTTTTTTCACCTTCCCAATCCCTGTGCATTTATTTCAGAATAAGACTGTTGCTACCCCAAATCAAGGGGTGTGGGACATGAGAGGCAAACAATTCTATGCTGGTATTGAGATTAAAGTCTGGGCAGTTGCTTGCTTTGCACCACAGAAACAGTGTCGTGAGGAAGTCCTAAAGTAAGTATTCTATCTCTTTTTTTTTTGGTTTATAGTTCATTTCATTTTGTTCGAAGTTTGCTGGAAAGCACTCATGTCAAAAACTTGTGCTTGAAATGTTCTTGTGCATCTTAGTTAACTTCTTTCTTCCAACCCAAAGTTTCCAGTTTCTTCTAGTCTGCATAATTGGATTATACTATTGAAAATACATCTGTACTGTGTATTGTTTTTATTGTTTACATTGAAATTACTGCAAGTTATAAAATAAAGAACTTCTATTACTATGCCAAATGTTTGAGGGCTAGGACAAAAGCAATAGCATCAAATTGAAACTGGCGACATTAATTTTCGAAGTGCTGGATACAGGCGGGAGTGGATGGTCTTGTGCTTTGTAGCTTTAATTATGTTCCTTGATCTTTTGGTTATTTCTCTTTCTTTCTCCAGAAACTTTACTGATCAACTGCGTAAAATTTCGAAAGATGCTGGAATGCCTATTCAGGGGCAACCATGTTTTTGTAAATATGCGCAAGGTGCAGACAGTGTAGAACCTATGTTTAAGCACTTGAAGATGACTTATGTTGGTCTACAGTTGATTGTGGTCATCCTACCTGGAAAAACCCCTGTATATGGTATGTAAAAGATTAATGTATAATTTTATTTACCTTAACTGTCCTAAGTTTAGATTATGGCAGACTTTGGATGCTACCAAGTGCAAAATAAAGAAATTGACCTCTTTCTCTCAGGAGCTGCGGTGTAAGTATTATTTAGAAAATAGTAGCAGGAATAGACCATTGAACCTGCTCCTCCCATTCAATATGATCATTGCTGATCATGAATCTGAACACCATATTTCTGTTCTCTCCCCATACTCTTGACACCATTAGCCTACAGAAATCTGTATTTTGTTTTAAATACATTCAGTTACTTTGCCTCCACAGCGTTCTATTGTAAAGAATTCCACAGGGTCACCATCCACTGAGTGACAAAATTTTTCCTCATCTCAATCTAAAATACACACATCACCACGATCAGTTCTGTCCAGCACTGTCAGAATTTTGTCTTAATAAAATGCTTCGCTTTTTTTCTAAATTCCAATGGACAGTCACAGTTGACCCAGTCTTTCTCCGTGCAATCAACAATCCCAGGAATCAGTAATGAACCTTGAAACATTGTCATTCCTACATTGAAACAAGCTACCAGTTTGCGTCAGTATTCAACATTCCATGCCTTTGGGTTCCTCTGTTAAAACATTTTAGTCTTGGTGATAATTTTTGGTGTGGATTTGTGAGAAATATGAAAGGTTCCCCAAATTTGTAGCATAGATGATGGAATGTAAACTTAAAACTGAAAATTCTGTGTTCTGCATTTCCTATCTGAGTCAATTTAAGAGGAAATAGGTGGCAAGGGGAAAGCTTCCTGAGAAGGAAAACCCCACTATGCCACAACTATGCCTTCAGCAAGCATGTTAAAGCAGTTTTGCTTAAGTCCTGATGCCAATTTTTTGGCACAGACTTGGTGCTTATAGTGATGGGTGGTGGGCACATAAAGAGAAATGTAAACTAATGTAAAAACATTTTGTAACTTGAAATTCATAATTTGTGTATGTGCTTGCAGATTACAGATATGGTTACTTCAACATTTTGTTAAAGGGCTAATTATTTTTCATGATGCATTATTTGCTTGATAGACCGATGATCTTTCTAAAACTTCACCACTTGATCGTTCCGTAATGCCAAGTAGAAGGTCATTAAATTAGATTTACCAGGATTTTGCCGGGATTGGAGGATTTTCGTTATAAAGAGGGGTTCGATAGGCTGGGACAGTTTTTCAGTTGAGCATAGCAGGTTAAGAGGTGACCGTATAGAGTCTTATTAAATAATGAGGGGTATAGATAAAGTGAATGATAGGTGTCTTTTCTATAAGGTTGGAGATTTCAAGACCAAGGGGCATATTTTTTAGGTGAGGGGAGAAAGATTTTAAAAAAGATGTGAGGGACAATTTTTTTGCATAGTGGTTTGTGTGTGGAATGAACTGCCAGAGGAAGTGGTGGATGCAGGTACAGTTACAATGTTCAAAAGACATTTGGAGAAGTACATGAATAAGAAATGTTTGGAGGGATATGAGTCAAATGCAGCAGGTGGGACTAGTTTAGTTTGGGATTATGATCGGTATGGACTAGTTGGACCAAAGGGTCTGTTTCTGTGCTGCATGACTCTGATCCTATAAATGAGAAGTGGCTTGGTGAAATAAAATGACATAAATCTACTTCTTGGTTTCTAATGTTGAATATACTAATGCACTAATCCCAAGCAAAAATGGATTTGCTCTGAAGAACTGTTTGCAGGATGGAAGACAAATTTATTCGGGTGATGTCTTTGAGTATAACTTATAGAAATGTTAACATCCGGAGCAGGATGTAGGAATTCTTTCCCTGTTTGCGAACCCGTAATAAATTCAGTGTTCTTTGAAAAACTCTGTCATTTTCAAACTTGCATTTTTCTCTTCTAGCTGAAGTGAAACGTGTAGGTGACACGCTATTGGGAATGGCAACACAATGTGTTCAGGTGAAGAATGTGGTCAAAACTTCCCCACAAACTTTATCAAATCTCTGCTTAAAGATCAATGCAAAACTTGGCGGAATCAATAACGTCCTTGTACCTCATCAGCGGTAAGTACATTCAATTTGCATTTACCCAACTGCAGTGCTCTAATGCACTGATTTATGGAGGGCAGCTTGGCCGTACCAAGTGAAGGGCATGTATTCAATGTCAATGAATAAGCAAATCAACATTTAATTTGTTATATTTGTTGAGGTTAGAATGCTGAGCAACTGGAAGATTCCATATTTTGAGACACTCATTAGCTGTTGCATGAGACAGGTTATTTGTTTGAGATCTGGGCAGTACTGGCAAGGATACCATTTATTGCCTATCCCTGCTGTCCTGGTGAGCTGCCTTTTTTGAACTACTGTAGTCCATGTGATAAAAGTACATCCACAGAGTTGTTACGGATTTCTAAGATTTTGACCCAGTAAGAGTGAAGGAACAAAAACAAACATTGCTGGAAAAGCTTAGCAGGCCTGGCAGCATCTGTGAAGCAAAAGCAGAGTTAACATGTCAGATCCAGTGACCCTTCCTCAGAACTGATGGTAGCGAGGAAAATGTCGGTTTATATGTAGAAAATAGGGTGGGGGGAGGGGATCAGGAGTAAACAATAGGTGGATAGAGCCCAGAAAGAGAGAAGAACAGTTGGACAGACAAAAGAGTGGATAAAGATCTGGCTAGGAGGGTGAATAACTGTTAATGGAGACTGTTAGTGGCTAAGAATAGGTAGTGTGTAATAACAGACTGTGATAATAAGGTCTTATGCGTGGGGTAGGGAGAGTTCATGAGAGAGATAGTAGAGAGGACATGGGAGAGTTCAGGTCTAAAATTATTGAACTCGATTATTGAGTTCGGAGGGCTGCAGGGTCCCCAAGCGCAAAATGAGTTGTCATTCTTCCAGCTTGTGCTGAGCTTTGCTGGAACACTGTAGCTAACCTGAGACAGAGATGTTGGCCAGGGAACAGGGTGGTGTGTTAAAGTGGCAGGCAACTGGAGGCTCAGCATCTTTACTGCGGCAGAACGTAGATGTTCTGCGAAGCGGTCACCCAGTCTACGCCTTAGTTTCCCTAATGTAGAGGAGACCACATTGTGAGCAGCAAATGCAATAGACTAGATTGAGAGAAGTGCAGGATTTGGGTCGGACCCGGTTGAGGGCCCTATTGACACCTGTGCTGGGGAATCCTCTGTTGAGGAAGAAGGTGGACATTGTGGAGGCTCCCTTGTCAAGTTGGCCTCATCAGAACATATGCAATGGAGACCGAGGAACTGGGAGAATGGAATGAAGTCTTTAAAGGAAGAAGGGTGCAAGGATATATAGTCCAGGTAGCTATGGGAGTGGGTGGGTTTATAGTAGATATTAGTGTCTAGTCTATCCCCAGAAATGAAAACAGATGTCGAGGAAGGGAAGGGAGGAGGTGAAGGTAGACCAGGTGGAAGTGAGGGCGGGATGGAAATTGGAAGCAAAATCTATGAACTTTTCCAAGTCTGTACAAGAGAGAAGCAACACCAATGATATCATTGATATGTTGGAGAAGGAGTTGTGGGTGGGGTCTGGAATAGGACTGGAGGAAGAAATGTTCCCACACACCGCACAAAGAAACAGACATAACTGGGGCCCATGCAGGTACCCTGACTTGAAGAAAATGAGAGGAGTTAAAAGAGAAGTTGTTGAGGGTGAGGATGAGTTCAGCCAAGTGGAGGTGGTGATGGTTAGAGATGGTTCAACCCTTTGCTCCAGGAAGAAGCAGAGAGCCCTGAGACGATCCTGGTGGAGGAAGAAATGATGATTATAGTTCCAGATCCAGATGTTGTCAGACTTGGAGAAGAACTTGCCAATGGTAATGTTCCATATTCCTATCTTTGTTCTTTTATGTGGTGGGGGTCATTGTTTGGAAGGTATCAAAAGGAGCCTTGGGACTTGTTGCAGTTAGATGTATCTGCAACAGATATATTGGTGAGGACGAGGCCAAGTATGCTTTTCCATCTCGTTGGTTTCCATCCACCTTCTGCAGACACCCCATTTAGTAGTGGTGCCACAAAGCCAATCTTAGTGGGTGTTTGAAAACCACTTAGTCTTGCCTCTCTATGCTTCTTTTAATCGGTGTTCAACATTGTGAAGTATTGATTCATCAGCTGAGTTGGTTGGATGATAGCTGGTAATCGGCAGAAGGTTTCATTACTCATGTTTGACCTGATGCCATGAGACTTCTTGAGCTCTGAAGTTGATGATGTTAGGGAGGTCATTAAAGTAGCAGCTGAAGATTATTAATCCAAGAATACTGCCTTGAGGAACTCCTGTAGTAATGTCCTCAGTTGAAGTGTTTGGTCTTATAGCAAACAAAATCCTCATACTTTGTGGTAGGTATGACTGTAACTGGTGTAGATATTCTGATTCTGCTTTACTTGGTGGTCTTGATATCACAGTTAGTCAAATGCACCCTGATGTTTGAGCAATTACTTGCCTTGCTTCTAGAATTCTGTTTCTACCTCTGTTTGTTTGGACCAAGGTTTTAATGAGAATGAGCAAGTTTTTTTTTGATGAAACCCAAACTGAACATTGTTCAGTGTGTCTGCTCACCATCGATGGCACTTGACGCATCTTTCATCACCATGCTGATGGTTGAAAATAGAGTAGTGGTGGTGATTGGCCAGACTGGATTTGCCTTTTATGGGTATGAGACATCACAGCAAGTTTCCACTTTGAAGTGATACCATGTTGTTGCTGTGCTGGAAAAGCAAGGTTAGGGTATAGGAATTACTAAAATGAAGTGGAAATAATAAGTGCATTGGTATATTACAAAATCATAAATTCCAAATATCTGCCAAGTTTTCTTGGTAGCCAAGAAGAAAAAGGAAGCATTTTCTAAATCTAGCATATGTGTCCATCTGATGTGTTGCAGTACATCTGGTGTAGATAACATGCAATAAATATTCAAACAGAGGAGTTTTCTTAGGAATACAGATAACATCTATTATTTGTCCATCTGTAATCTATATGTTCAAATGTTTAAATTAAGTTACTGATGTAAGGTTGTAATTTTCTCTCAAATGGTGCTAGATAATAGTGCAGACTATTCTGATTTTCTTTAAAGCTTTCATTCCCTTCGATCGCTACCATGTTTGGGTGATAGAATTTCTTATTGGTCATTAACACTGCAATGACAATATTAAGAGCATTTAGAAACTAAAGCAAATATAGTTTATAGCTTCAGCACAGGATGTTAGTTGCAAGGTCATTATTCTGCCTACTTAATTCATGTGATGTATGTGCATCATAATTGCAAATTGCTCGCAATGAATGCTAGAAATTTAATGACTATTTAGTTAGGATAGGAAACATGCATAATCAGGAAAAGATAGGGCCCACCTGGGAGCCAAGTGGCAAATTGTTTGGACCAGAAGACACGAGTAAGGTTTTAAGAGTTCTTTGCCTCGGTAGTCACTATTGAGAAGGATGATGAAAGTATAGAAATCAGAGAGGACGTTTGTAATTTTTTCAAAAACAAAATCACAATCTAGAGGGAGGGATATTAGCAGTTTTGGTAGACTTTAAGTTCAATAAATACACAGGCCCAGATGTATCCCAGGCTGCTGTGAGATGCAAGAGAGAAGACTGCCAGGGTCTTTCCATTAATATTCAAATACTCTCTGACCATGGACTGAAGGAAATTTTTTCATTCTACAAGATGGTGGCTATCTGGAACTCACTGCTTGGAAGGGTATTAGAGGTGGATACCATCACAACATTTAAGTAATGATGACTAGGTGAACACTTGAAATGCCAAAGCATACAAGGCTATGGTGCAAGTGCAGGAAAGTGGAACTGGAGTGCATGTCCACGTTGGTGGTCATGTAGCAATGATGGGTCCAAAAGACCCCTTTCTGTGCTTGAAAACTCTGACTCTATAACATTATCTATTATATATTAACTTGAGGATTCACCTAAACCAGAATTGTTTACCCTGATTAACTAGTTAGGTGTTAGTGTTGAACCTCAGTATTGCATTTTAAGAATGTGAAGATTTGTATTATATTTAGGCCATCCGTGTTCCAGCAGCCTGTCATCTTCTTGGGAGCAGATGTCACCCATCCTCCAGCTGGAGACGGCAAGAAACCCTCCATTGCTGCTGTAAGTTGTTAAGCGCTATATTAGAAAACAATTCCTGGCAATGTTGAAGAATTGATTATACTCAGGTTCAGAAAGTAAGTGTGCCAAATGCTGAAGTTTACTGAACAGAAGTTGAAGCACTCAATTTGAATTTAATATTTTCAGTTGAAGGTAAAAATCAGCCAGAACATTATTTGACTGAAAAACACACAGCTAAGGTACTGATAGCTGTGGTCATTGCCCACATTAATATCAGGTGAAGAACGTTAACAGGAAAAAGTCCATTTTGTGGCTCAACATCGTGCAAGAGGGAAAAACTTGCTGTTCTTGGATAGCTTTTCTAATTAGGTTAATGGATAGCAGTGTTTTGTTACGTATTCAACTACATGCCTTCTATCCAAACATTCAAGAAAGTCCCTCCCTTCACAATTGTCTCTGAAGCTGTGGTACCTGTTTAATCCACAACAAACTGCAGTTAAATATTAAGAAATTGGTTTGCTTTCTAGGTGGTTGGTAGTATGGATGGACATCCGAGCCGCTACTGTGCAACAGTACGTGTGCAAACATCAAGACAAGAAACTTCTCAGGACCTGCTGTTCAGTCAAGAGGTGATCCAGGATTTGTCCAACATGGTGCGTGAGCTCCTGATTCAGTTCTACAAATCAACCCGCTTCAAGCCAACACGCATTATCTACTACAGGGGTGGAGTTTCTGAAGGACAAATGAAACAGGTTTGTGTTGGTGAGATGCTTAACAAATCATGGAATCATATAGTAGTATAATGCAGAAGAAGGCCTATCAGCCGGTTAAGTCTGGTGGCTCTTTGAAAGAGCAATTTCCAATAAATTCATGACTCCCATTATAGGGGAATCTGCTTACTAAACTTCTTAAGTAAAGCTTCGAAATAGCTAAAGACCAGTAATCCCAATTTTGCCTATAAACTTACCGTAAGTTTGATTATAAATTTTCATGGTTGTTCTCTGCTGTAAATTCCAAGCCAGCCTCGGCTTGCTCCTCCTTGTTCTCCTAATCTTGTGCAGTTTATCCATGTGAACTCGCTGTGACAGAAACCATTCATAATTGTGGCTTCCACAACAACGACGACTTGAAACTGACCTCTAAAACAGTTGGCTTGTATTCATGCTTCTTTTTGATGGCCTCCATAATCTGAGAAATGAGTTGTTATCACTAGTGGGTTTTCAGGCTCCTAATCTCCCCAGATGCAATGGCAGGAGTTTGGTCATGATGTTGGGAGGCAAGAATGACAGCTTGACGCTCTTGAGTCCAGCAATGTTGGGGTGAACGGGACAGTTATCTATGCTCATGATGATCTTTTTCTTCCACTAATACATTTTGCCAACTTTCCTGATCCATACATCAAAAATGCTGGAGGTGCAGGAGATTTTGTTAGTCTTATTTTGCACAGGATGTTGCTTGGCATTTGCAAAGTAACGTGACTTCTTGAACTTCTCTATTGCAAGAAGAGACTGTGTGTTTTCCATGCCATCCATTTTGGCACAGACTTCTTTCAGTTTCTACCATACATGTTTAATCTTGAAACATCTAAGGTCAATATTCTAAAATATGGCAGAACTGTCTGATTTCAACAATGTTAAAAATGTCGCTCAATGCATACTTGTTCAGGACATGGGTGAGATCGTTTTTGAAGTTAATTGTCTGTCATTGTCTCCATAATTGCTACACCCTCACTGCTTACCAAGTGGAATATAATGCCATACCTTGTCTTGAATTGGCCATTCATTGGTGCTGGTGAACTCCTTGTAGTCCAGCCTCTTTGCCAGGGCGCTGCCTCTTTCTTGCAAAATTGGACCAGAGATGGAAACGTTTTCGCTCCAGCAACTAAGAACCAAGAGGCAAGCTTCTTCGAAATTGAGATAGATAGTGGTTTTGACCCTCTTCTTTACTAGAGAAGACCTGCTTGCTCAGCACCACAGTTTTCCACTTGCTGTATTGACTTCAATTTGTCTCTAATCAAAAGCACTTTTAATTTTCTGACTGGTTTAGCCATTGGATTTGAATTTGCTTTCACAGGGATATCTTGATGTCAAATAATGAATTGACTTCAAGATTTTGCACAGTTGGATGGCCTAGCTCTGCTTTGATTTGTTAGCGGGTCATTTGACCAGTTTACATGACTTCGACTAATTCGGAGTTAGCAGTCTAGAACTTCAGTTTATCTTGGGTGTCATTCTGTTGGATTTGATTGACAGCTGGTGGGAATGGTTGGTAACTTCAACACAACCAGAATTTCAGGTTATCCAAATGTAATTACTTGTGATTTCACTGTAACTTGTGCAAGTCCCTGTGTCTCCAACATCCATGCAATAGTTACTGTACAAATATCTATATAGTTCCCAATTGAAGGGTATCTTCAGGTAATGCATTCCCAATTCTTAAATGTTCAAATATTGTCATGTCACCTTGGCAGATATTTTTAATCAGCCTGTTCAGATATATTATGACATGTCTGGAGTAGGTTGGATTTGAACCCAATCCTTCTAACCCAGATGAAGGGATGTTACCACAGTGCATAAGAGCCCTGATGTCACCTCCACTGGTACTTTTGCCAATCACTTCAACTGTCTGTCAGGTTACTGATCATCAGCTGTCGGAGACAGTCATCTGAGCCTGCAATAATTTAAACAAGTTTTTTTTTCTGAAGAAGAGTCCTGACCCAAAATGTCAACATTCCTGCTCCGCTGAAGCTGCTTGGCCTGTTGTGCTCCTCCAGCTCCACACTGTGTTACCCCTTTTTTTTTTTAGATATGTGTTCTCTTTTGTAACATGTATAACACAATAGCCAATTTGCATGGTCCTTAAATTCTGTACACCCATTGTTTCTGGTCATTGATGTCAGATTTCTGAAATATTGCATTGCATTTGATCTTTAACCAAGTAGACTAATATGATCAAACTTTGCAAGCCTATTTTTGGTTATAGCTGGGGATGAATCTTATCCCTTTATTTTCCTGCAAATAGCTCAGCTGCCTCCTGACAGTCTCTTAATGCGATTGCACAAGTTTAGTTATCAATTCTAGTAATATTAATTACTGACCTTGGTTTCACTACTGTTGAGGCACTGAATCGTGACAGCCTTCTCCCAAAAAATATGAGTGGTCATATCTTTTATCTCTGTGCACAGTCACAGTGGTATTTAAAGGCTTGGAAGAAGAATGCTCAGCCTGAGAAAAGGATGGTTCATTTAGAAGGGAGCCCTACTCTTCAATAACTATCCACAGCTATTTCATTGGACAAGGGTTGGTGGAATAAGCAATGTGCTAAAAATTAACAATAAGGAAATAACACTCAATGGAACTATAAATATCCTTGCAAAATTTATTCCTTTTCTGTTCAAACTTGCATATAGGTTGCCTGGCCTGAGCTTATTGCCATTCGGAAAGCCTGCATTAGCCTGGAAGAGGACTACAGACCTGGCATAACATACCTTGTTGTTCAGAAACGACATCATACGCGACTGTTTTGTGCTGACAGAAGTGAACGGGTAGGTGTCCTTGTATGCAAGCATGCTACTATATCAAACAATCGTGCTAGGTAAATGTATTCACACTTACGGAAATAAACTGTATAATGCAGGAGTGTCCAGCATGATCCCTCCTGATTACTGGCCCCTAACCCATTTAATCTTGGGGGGGAGAGGAGGGAGGGAAGAGAGTGAGTGAGTGCGGGGGGGGATGGTGAGTGAGTGCATGTGGTGGGGTGGAGTGGAGAGTGAGTGAGTGAGTATTGTGTGGTGGGGTCACCTGTAGTGTGACATGAACCCAAGTTCCTGGTTGAGTCATTGGTACCAAACTTGGCTATCAGCCTCTGCTCTGCGACTCTGCATTATTTTGTATTCCGAAGTCCGCCTTGGAGGACATTTACCCGAACACCCGAGGCCAAACATCCTTGACCGCTGAAGTGTTCCCCTGCTGGAAAGGCACGTCCCTGTCTGGTGATTTATTGTGCAGTGTCCATTCATCCATTGTCATAGCGTCTGCGTGGTTTCACCAATATTCCGTGCCTTGGAGCATGCTTGCCTACAGTGCATGTGACTTTGCCAACATTGCCTATCTTGTGACTATTTGCAGTGCATGTGGTGGGTAGTGTTCCCGTGTGTGATGGTAGTGTCCATGTTGAAGATCTGACATATCTTGTAGAGGTTACCATGACAGGGTTGTATAGTATTGTGGTCGATGTTGTCCTGAAGGCTGGGTAGATTGCTGCGAACAATGGTCTGTTTAAGGTTTGGCGGTTGTTCTGAAGGCGAGAAGTGGAGGTGTGCAGAAGATCTTGGCAAGGTGCTCGTTCTCTCCTGTCTGTCTGTCTGTCTGTCTGTCTGTCTCTCTCTCTCTCTCTCTCGTGTGTGTATACACACACACACACACACACACACACACACACACAC